GGTTCCTCGATTATGGGAAGGGGATGTAACTTGGCCTTGCGCCGGTCCCCCCTTTTCCCCACCCTTTGACAGGTATCACACGTGTTGCAATACCTGCGCACCTCCTGGCTAATTCCCGGCCAAAAGAAACTTTGAGTTAACCTGTATCGGGTCCTGCTGACCCCTAAATGTCCAGATAGCGGAATGTCATGTGCTATCCGTAATAACTCCGCCCGGTACCGCTGCGGTACCACTAACTGCCTCATCACAATCGGGTCTGACCCGGATACCTTCTTATCCGTCTCCCGATATAACAGCTGTCTGTCCCAAATAAACCTTTCGCCCTCCCCCCCAGGCGTGTCTGCTGTCACCTTGTCCCTAAACACCTGCAAGGTGGGGTCAGTCACTACCTCAGCTGCAAATTCGTTAGGAGGGGCCCAGGGAACACAGTCAAGGGAAGGGGAAGGATCTCTTACCTGAACCTCCGGGAGTGTGTTGTAGTCCTGGGTGCGGGCCTGTTGCCGAGTAACCACAGGGTGAGCTTCTCCTGTGGTGGGTGTCTGGGGCTCAAAAGCAGATGTGAGCCTCCCCAGATCGTTCCCCAACAAAATCTCCGCCGGTAACTGCGGCATCAACCCCACCTCCACATGCCCTGCCCCCGCTCCCCAATGCAAATGTACCCTTGCTGTAGGTAGCTGGTATACTGCTCACCCGGCTACCCTGACGGCCACAGTCTTACTTAGTTTAGCTTGGTCTGAGACCAGGTGACTTTTTACCAGGGTGATGGTGGCTCCTGAGTCACGTAGTCCCTGAACCGCTTTACCCTCCAGATACACGGTCTGCCTGTGATGCTGGTAGTTGTCAGCATTAGCCTGGACGGGATCTGCCTCGTGCAGTACCTCCCACTGTTCTACCGTTGTGATGGGAACTGCTGAACCATACGGTGTGGCCACGATGTCCTGGTAGTGGTGGGCTGCGGCTGCTCTCGGTGGTGGTGGGGGGCCGGGGCGAATCCAGGTGGAGCGGTCCCGCAGCTGGGGGCATTCCCTTTTATAATGTCCCCATTTATGGCTGTGGTGGCAAGGGCCCGACGTGGGCTGGCGGAAACGTGGCTGTGCAGCGGGCGGTGGGGGTGGTGGCAGTGGTCTTGGTAGAGCTGGCGTGTAGTTGTTCCTCCCAAAGGTTTTAAAAGGTACTTTTGGAGCTGCAGGTTTTTGCTGTCTGCGTGCATCCAGGTACTCGTCTGCCTTCCTGGCTGCTTCGGTAAGGGAGGTAGGGTTTCTGTCTCTTACCCACTCCTGTACCTCGCTGGTTACTCCTTCATAAAATTGCTCCAGTAGTACCATTTGCAATACATCCTCCATAGACCGTGCCTTGCTCGCTTGCACCCACCCCAAGACTGCTCGTTGTAGTCTGCATGCCCACTCTGCGTGTGAGTCTCTCTCCACCTTCTTTAAATCCCTGAATCTCCGCCGGTATGCTTCTGGTGTTATAGCATACCTGGCCAATATAATTTCTTTCACTTTGTGGTAATTCCTTATTTCTTCATTAGGCACAGTACGGTATGCCTCAGCTGCCCTCCCAGTTAACCTCCCTGCCAAAATAGGTACCCAGTCCTCTGCGCTGATTCTATGCAGTGCACACAGTCTCTCAAAATCTTGCAGGAAAGCGTCTATATCTTCCTCTGCCTCCACATATGTTTTAAAAGCCTGGTACGGTATTTTAGGCTTACCTTCTTGTGGCATATTTACTCCAGAGCTGCGTTCTGGGGCCGCTGTTTGACTCCTTAGTATAAATTCCTGGACCTCCGTCATTGTTTTTGAAACAATCTCTGTTGGAGGGTGTTCCCCATAGAAAGACAGCCGAAATTGTACCTGTCTCTGGAACTCCCTTTGTTCCGGTGTTTCTCCCGAATTCCCCTGTTCGGGAACCGAATCGCCGTCCATTCGGTACTCTGCCATCAGTTCAGTAATGAGTACCGCTTTTGTCTTATTGCTGGCTTGTATACCCCTTGCCTCCAGAAGGTCTTTTAGCGTGGAGCGTTTTAGTGTGGCAAAATCAATCTCCATCCATACTCCATTTATGCTTGTTCCTCTGTGAGTCTGGATCCCAGCGCTGCCAACCAATGTAGCGGAGATGCAATATTACCCAGGGTATCTCCGCTTATAATCCAAGTGGGACTCAGGAACAAGTAAATAGTAAATCCACAGGCAAGGTTTCCAGCAGGTAAAATACAGCAATATCCCAACAGCAATCCCAATAACTGGACGACACACAGTTTCAGGAGCATAACTGACAAGCCTTTAATCACAGTCTCCTTATAAAGCATGCTCCCATGCAAGGGAGGGATTTACAGTAATTATTACAGTAGCCAATCCTGTCCTGGTAACCTCCCACACATCTCCTCCCCTCAGCCAGCATCATAATCCCCTTATCCAGCACACCAATTCCCCCCGTTTCTGGATGTACCCCTAAACGTAGGGGTACCTCTTTAAATCCTACATCCCCGGATACCCCTGATCTGGGGGAACAACATATCCAAAAATCAACCAGATCAGACCAGGGGTTCGGGAAATGTATGGAGGGAATAAAATGACCGACCGCACTAACTGATATAGCCGAATAAGGTTCCATGCGAATGGGCCCTGCGGTCGGTCCTGGCATAAGGGAACAAAATACACGAAAGCCTCTAGCTATAGAGGCTAGGGAGGGTTCGCCTGAATCCCCTCGTTCGGTATTTTCTATCTACCGAACGAGGGGCCGTTCGGTAGTTTGGAACCGAACGGACCAGGGCTGTGGAGGTCTCAGCGGT